ACACACATATATATATATATATGATGTTTAACTTTATTTGATTTTTGTTCAGGTCTTCCACAGAGTGTCTTTGAAACAAGGAAATAAAAATATGAACAAAATACACATTATAGTATTTAAGTGCCACTGAATGACAGCTTCTAGAAATGATGCCAATTTCTTATTCCTCGTTCAAGTCTCTTGATTGTAGATGTGTTTAGAGCAAGGGAGATCAAAGTGATGTATTGTGTTTTCAGCTGCCATGTAAAGGCTGATTGGCAATTACAGCCAAGGCATCTGTCACACTTTGCTTTTGGAAAAGTCAATGGAATGTGGTTGTCAGTGTGAGAGTGTATTTGTTCTTTGAATGTGGAATGGTGAAAATTTCCATTATATTTGAATGGAGAGAGATATTGCATTTTGTTGACCTTGTTGCTTAGTTGGTTAGCCAATTGGGTGAGGTACTGTGAGATAAAAATAATAGGAGGGAATCTGATTAAAGCTGCAGACTTTTGGTCACAGAATTTTTAGGGCCTGGGGTTGGAGGTAGAGGGTTTCATCATACCATTAAGGTATGCATCAACCCAGAAATAGAGACACCAATTTACCAGCTTATGATACTGACTAGTTTGGTGAATACATTTTATGTTAAAGCAAAGTTGGTTTTAATTTTTGTCTCCTCTGTGAAGAAAATGTGACTAAAATTACTGTGACAATCTGTGGATTACTATATAGGTTATGCATCGAAAGGCTGTTTAAGAACAAATTTTGCATGTATCTGTGTGAATGGAGAGATGGTATATTATATTTTAAAGGTTACTTTAAACTATGTCTAAATCTAAGGGTTTATAATAAATAGTAATATATTAAATATTACCTTCTTCATAAACATAATACTGCATTCTATATTGCTCACAGTGGATTGCTAGTGAAAGTATATCAATATTAAACATGCTGTTTAATATTTTCTTTAAAGACTTCATATTTTTTTTATTATCAGGGTTTTTACTTTGTATAAAAGAGTCATACCATGTGCTAAATGGCCTCTCACTCCTGCCTGGAATATATATTTATGCTAAATAAAGCCCTCTATGTACAAGGTGTTGAGAGCAGTTCCACTCTGATTCTTAGAACTCTGAGTATTGAAGGTGATTTTCCTCTCCAGAACTCTATCAGTCAGTGTTTGCAAATGCCAGTTCTGTTTTCTTTCTCACTCCATGCTTTGTGATAAAGCTAAACTATACTACCCTAAGAACAAGTGTATTGACTGTTTTCAGACTTGTGTCTGTCTTTATACCAAGTGTTAAGCTTAGTCTTCTATTGATTTCACTACTTGTTTTTTTTCTTGTGTATTAAAACACATATCAACAGTTCTCTAACTCTTACCTTTCTGAAGACAAATAATCTGTAATCACTAAATATGCACACATTCAATGGTGGCTCTATTGTATAGGTTGCTTTTAAAAAAATGTTTGATATTATTCTTGTTTTACATTCTACTGTATAAGTTATTCAGTTTTCTTTGAATGTATTTCATCTTATTTCAAGGTGATCGAAGACTTGCACAGTACCAGACAGTAAGGTACAAAAAAATCAGTAAACTAATGCTTGTGCTTGAGGAGTTCCCATGATTTAGTCATAGCTCTGAGCTAAAGTATGGCTTTCCTAGGCATCTTGGGACAAGTGGATCTTTGGGAAACAAGGACTTTAGACATGGAAAACTAGTCCACAGAACTTGGTATGGAATTTATGGAGCTGAGATACCACGAGCCTGACATATACTCAAGTCATTGCCTACAGCCCAAGGGCATGTTTAGTTAAAAAACAAACAAACAGACAAAATTTCCGATGGAATAGAAGTGACCACACTGGCATGGCTGTGCTACCTCATAAAAGTCACAAACATGGAATATTTGTGAACAGGTTTTAGTTTTTCTATATACTTAAAAAGATTAATTAGTTATAGTAAAAGCATAAAAGCAAGCAAGAAAAGCAATATGAAAATGCATGCTAATAATTTATATTTGTGGGCCACTTCATCCAATTTCACAGTACTCCTCCAAGCCCTTATATTTTAAATGATATTTTACAAACATTCTGTGTGTGTGTTCATTTTCTGTGCCCTAGCCCTGAGAAATATTTTCCTTTTTTATCAATTTGGATCATCCATTTCAGAGTCATTAACAATTCACAGATGCGCTTTTGTAGTGAGAGAATGAAAAGGGAGCTCATTACATACTGTTTGGGTCATTTTTCCGACTCCATATTTAATAATTCCATGACAGTTTGACAACAGAGACTAGTTTCTATCTGTCCTCTGAGACAGCAGTTTTATCATCATAGGGGCACTAAAGCTGGCCATCCAGCCACAGTGATAATATCTTCATGCATCAGCAATTTGTTTGGAAAATGCTGTTGTCTTGGTTACAGAGAAACTTGGTAATTTTGGACTGGTCTTTGCTTCTTCTATGATCACTCAATTAATCTTTTCATAAATAGTTGTGTTTGAATTAATTATACTTGTCTGTGTTTTGTAACTCATCAAGATATGTGGGATGATAATCTCTAATGTAGTTTATTCTTCACTGCTTAGATTTTTTAGTGATTTTTTTTAACATAAGATTATCCGATCATTCTTCTCAAAAGAAATCTGAAGAGTAGAAAGAATATTGGACCATATTTCATTGAAGGCTATTACTAAGGTAATGGCTTAGAAAGTGGACAAAGAACTGTTCACATAATTGGATCTTTTGGGGATCTTCTTTTAGATTCATAATAAACTTGGATTTCTATTGATTTCAGAAGCTTGTGGACATTATTCTACTAGATGATCAGGTTCATGCAAGTAAGAGTTGTCTATCTCAGTCACAGATCTAGTGCCAATAAGTAGCCCAGAGACTCCTGGAAGTGTTGAATTTATGTGAATGAATGAGGGACCAAATAAATGGATTATTTCAGGACTTTTTCACCTAAAAAGCAACTTGACTATTGATTCCACTTGTAATATTTTCCTCCTGTCACCCATTCTGCCCAGTCTTGTAGATTAACATACATAAACCCAGAGTTTTTGTAATTGTTTACAAGGCTCTGCAAGATCTGAGCTTTCATCTCTGAGATATCGTCTCCTTCCATACTCTCCCTGACTCACACGGGCTTTGACTCTGCATTGGTGTTCCCTCCACCCAGAATTCTGTTCCATATACCAACATGGCTTGCTCATTACCTATTTCAGAGCCTCATTCAAATTTGTAACCTTAGGTGTCACTACCCACCTATTTTCCTACTTTATTAATAATTACTTCTCTGTAGCATCTAACCTTGAAATCTCAGCTATTTCTTTCTTTTGTTTTATTATCTGTTTCTCCCACTACCCAAATAAAAGCAGAAACTTAAAAAAAAAAATGTTACGTGTTTTACTGTAGTGTGCATGTCCTCCTTGGGGAGAGACTGAGAGATAAAGTGAGAAATCATCACCCCTCCCCCACCATCAGGGGAAATGGCCCACTGCAGTCTCTTCTCCTTCATTCTCCTTTTGGGATTTTGGACACACATGCACATGCGCTCAGCATGATTTTCAAGCCTCTAGGTCTGGAACTTGAATCAGATCATCCGTGTGGGGGTCCAGTACCTTAACCACCACACTGCCTGCTGGCCCCACACATTTTTTTTTTAAACCATAGGATATGTACACTTCTGAAGAGAAAGAGAAGGAAAGAGGGAGAAAGAACACCATAGTTGGGCATGGCCACACTGCAATCCTTTCTCCTCTCTTTCTCCTCCTCATTAGGATTTTGGGCATGCATACACATGTGCCCACCATGTTTTCCAAGGCTCCAGGATAAGAATTTGAACCAAAATTTGCCATGTGGGATCAGACTCCCATAACCACTCTTCTATGGGGGCCGGCCCGCAATGTTTTATTTATTGCTGTATCCATAAGGCATGTGAAAATGCCTGACAGGCGCCAGACTGTGGCACCACAGTGATAAATGATGCTCTGTGAGGCTGACCCACATGAGAATGTTCTGGGTTCACATCATGAGACCTTTCTGAGCATTCCAGGCATGCACATCCCCATGATCTGGAGCTGCATAAGGTGGGGGGTGGACTGTGGCATCAAGATCCCATTGGCTCTCTCTCTCTCTCGCTGATAGAAAGATAAATAAACTTAAAAATATATATATCTGGCACATAATAGATGTTCAAAAGGTATTTGTTGAATGAAAGAATAAAAACTAACTATAGTCCTCTCAAAATCTTCCAGTAGGGCAGCAGGTAGTATGATGATTAAGGCAATGGACTCCCATATGACTGACCATGGTTCAAGTCCCAGACCTGGTGACTTGAAAATCATGTTGGGTACACGTGTATGTGTGCCCAAAATCCCAGGAGGAGAAGGGATTGTAGCATGGCCATTGCCCTGGGGGATGATGTCTCATTTTCCTTCCCTCTTTCTC